TCGGGCACTTTTAATCTTGCTCTGCAGGAAGCGGTGGAACAAGCCATGGGTGTTTTTGGTGGGGTCCCCCACTGATTTTAGGTGTAAAACAGTGGGGTTGTGGCCGGGGGTATGTCCTTGCCAATTAAGTTTGAGGTGGTTATGTTAATTATATGGAATGAAGTGAACAAGTTTTCAAGTCTCCCTCCCCTGCTCTAAAGGGTTAACATTAGGTTATCTGTTATGTCTTGCCCACCAAGCGAAGAAAAGGTCGGCTGGTGGTAAGCATTGGAAGGAAAAGTTGTTTATGCTGAGGGGGGATGTTAGAGGAAGTGGTACATAGGCTCATGGTCAGTTTATTGGCAAGGATGGTTGGGTTTCACCCTATGACACTATGTGTTAAGTTTAATGTTAAGTTATGGTTATTTATGTTTTGACGTTTTGGTTATATCAAAGAAAAGAGAATATTAAAATAAACTATGGATATTTTATACAGTAATTATCATATGTTATAATAAATGCTGTGGCCTGTTTCATCCATACTATGTTGTCTGTCATTATTTGGGTGAATTGGGGTGGTTTATGTTATTATGCTGCATTGCGATTCCCCACTACATACATGCAGAATACCAAGGTAATAGTAACAGTTGTCATTAATGGTAAATTTTCAGACTGGACAAAAGTGGTAAGTGGTGTCCCTCAGGGTTCTGTTTTGGGACAGCTTCTATTTAACATATTTATAAATGATCTTGCAATAGGCATTAAAAGCCATGTTTCAGTGTTTGCAGATGACACATAGCTTTGTAAAGTAATAAAATGTGAGCAGGATATTACTTATTGCAAAGGGATTTAGATAGATTGGGGACTGGGCACTAAAATGGCAGATTAAATTTAATGTAGAGAAACGCAAAGTTATGCACTTCAGGGTCAAGAATGGACAAGTAACTTACACCCTAAATGGTAGAGAATTCGGTATAACCACACACGAGAAGGATTTGGGAATTGTTATAGACAACAAATTAGGCCACAATATGCAATGTCAATCTGCAGTTGCTAAGGCCAGTTAGGTATTGTCATGTATAAATAGGGGCATAAATTCTCGGGATGAAAATATAATTTTGCCTATTTATAAATCGCTGGTAAGACCAGACCTTGAATATGCTGTGCAATTTTGGGCATCTGTTCTAAAGAAGGATATCATGGCACTAGAAGAAGTGCAGAGACAAGCTACAAAACTAAAAGGAATGGAGCATTTTAGTTACGAAGAAAGGTTAAAAAATTTAAATCTCTTTATTTTTGAAAAACGGCACCTCAGAGGTGATATGATAACATTATACAAATATATTCGGGGACAGTACAAACCATTATCTGGAAATATATTCATAAACAGGGCTATACATAGGACACAAGGACACACATTTAGGCTGCAAGAAAGGAGATTTCATCTAAGGCAAAGAAAAGGTTTTTATACAGTAAGAGCAATAAGGATATGGAATTCTCTGCCTGAAGAGGTGGTTTTATCTGAGTCCATACAGATGTTTAAACAGCAATTGGATAAATACTTGCAAAAACACAACATACAGGGATATAATTTCTAATTAGTGGGGTAATAGCTGCTTGATCCAAGGAGATATCTGACTGACTGTTATTTTGTGGTCAAGAAGGAATTTTTTTCCTAGTTTGTTGCAAAATTGGAAACGCTTCAGACTGGGTTTTTTGCCTTCTTTTGGATCTAAAGAAAAAACATATGTGAGGAAGGCTGAATTTGATGGAAGTAAGGCTCTTTTCAGCCATGTAACTATGTAAACCTCAACTGCAATTAATATTAACCCTGTCTTTACACCATTAAAGTGGCTTAATATTAACCCTGTCTTTACACCATTAAAGTGGCTATGTCACATCAAACCTACCTTTATCCTACTGTTTCCGACACTCTTCCTCTTTCAGAATCTGTCCTTATTTTGTCCTTTCTATTTTCTTACAATTGGCAATCTTGAAAAAGGGTGAAGCCTAAGGCTTCTCCATTTGTTAGCTTAACAAACAAAGTTGAGTTAACTAACCATGTTAGCTCCCTGGCCCCCTCTTGTCCCACTTAAATATGATCAAATCTTACCTTATTTCCATCACCACGCAGGTCCACTGGTGCTGGCTCTGCTCCAGACCCTGATCCACCTCCTTGTCTGACAATCAAAATGAAGCAGGCAGGATACAATTAAAATAAAAATAAAAACTAATATCCCTGAGGAAGTCCCCCTTTGTTGGATGAAACGCGTTGGATAGATACTTTAAGTTTATGTATGCTGCTAATATATTTTATATTTTGTATGTAGTTTTTATTTTTATTTTAATTATTTTTATTTTATTTTAATTGTATCCTGCCTGCTTCATTGGATCTTCTATTGGACTCTCTTCCACATCGTTCTGGGAGTTCCATGTTATATGGAGATATGCCTGCTATTTTTCTTCACTTGTAAGTGAGCCCAATAAATACTATTTTGTAATTTAATTACATGCTTCAGTATATTTGGTTTTTTATTATTTTATATATCCCACGGAGGATCGTCTATTCATAAGATTGCTACCCTTGGGAGGGTGAGAAGTCTGATTTCATATTTTGTTTGTGAGTGCACTTATTTCCACTAATATATCACTCACCTATTCAGTACTGTATTACGCTATGTTAGTCTTTTAATCTTCTATACAGATTCCGTTTATGAATCACGACCTATATTTCAGGTTATTTGTATTTGTTCTTATATTATCACGTATTTGGGAGGTGTTTCCCCTTTGTTTTTCAATTATATGTGTTTTAGGTGTTAGTGAGGTACACCTGGGATCTCTCCCTAATATATGATTTTCACATAATTTTGTATAGTGTGTATACTCTACTGTTTTGTCTGTGGTTGAGGTTTAAGTCCTGGGTTGACAATTGGGCAGAGTACAGAAAAGAAAAGAAGATGGGGGTGGATAGGAAGGGGACGCATATCGCAGTAGTCTCGTCAATGATTCTATCAATGCTTTGTTGGCTCATGTGTGTTTCTGTTGGTACACTTCTTGGCTTATCTTAGGGGAGGGGAGAGCTCCCCCCCGCTCCTGGTCTTCCCTCGTTAGTAGCTTTACGTATATAATTATCCCATATGGCTTTGGCTTTGATGGTGTTGGGGCTATGTAGGAGTGCGCCATTTGCTCGTAGTCCCAGTTAAGGGTTACTTGTTCCCTTAAGGCTTTTGTGCTCAAGACTTTACCTGTTTTCCAGGCTCTCGCAAGCAACATGTTCGCCGCTATAAAGATCTGGAAAGTAAGTTTGGTCAGTGGTTTAGGTATATCTCTCGGTAATATGAACAAGATATAGTGGTCGGGGGTACAACACTGCTCTGTTTGGGTAACATTTGATACCTCCTTTGTGACCATTTTCTAGAAGTCCTGGAGGCTCGGACAAGACCACCAGACATGTAACATTGTACCCACTCCCTCCCCGTAGCTTAGTGAGGGAGGGGTATGGGTAGTGTTATGGGTAGTGTTATGGGTAGTGTTATGGGTAGTGTTATGGGTAGTGTTCGCAAAAGGTAATGGAACTTCGGGATCAATATCATTTTCACTGCTGCTATCCTTCCCACCCATGATAAAAAGCAGCCCTCCCATTTCTGCATAGTGGAGGTAAAACTCTGTATAAGTGGTTCATAGTTGTTCATAGTTGTATTTATACTGTGAGGTCAGCTTTTTAGTTAATTTAATGCCTAGGAAGGTTAGTCTTCCCGCCAGTCAAGGTAGTCTTCCTGCCAGTCAAAGTGGTATGTTTTCTGCATCCTCTCTAACTGTGTCGAGTCCCGCTCCAGGTACATGGCTTGGGTCTTGGTTACGTTCAACTTGTAATATGAATGTCTCCCATACGTGGTGATCAGTGTTAGCAAGTGCGGTAGTGATGTGTGTGGGTCCGTCAGGGTAAGGAGTATGTCATCCGCGAATAGGTTGGCCTTGTATTGTTTGTGCCCTATCGTCACTCCGTGTATTCGGTCGTGTTGTCTAATTTGAAGCGCCAGCGGCTATAGCGCCATGACATAGAGCAATGGCAATAGTGGGCACCCCTGTCTAGATCCGTTCGTAATGGGGAAAGGGTCTGATAAGAAGCCAGCATTTAACACCTTCGCTGAGGGTGCAGAGTACAGTGCCCTGACTGCCGACCTGAATCTCCCCGGGATGTTAAATTTGTTCAGGACCCCTTCCATGAAGCCCCAGTGCAAGCGGTCAAAGGCTTTTTCTGCATCGAGGGACATTATTAAGCCTTCCTTCTGTGTGCCTTGCAGTCCATAAATTATGTCTAAGACCTTTCTAGTGTTGTCGCCTTGGCGTCCCTTGACAAATCCCACTTGGTCCGAGTCGATTATGGTTGGTAAGACTATGCACAGCCTAGCCGCTAGCACTTTAGCAAACAGCTTGATGTCTGTGTTAAGCAGGGATATAGGGCGAAAGTTTTGGGGCTGGGTAGGTGGCTTGTCGGGTTTGGGGAGTGTCACTATATGTGCCAGCTGGCATTCTCCTGGAAGTGTACCTAGGTCAATGGCTTTGTTAAAGGTTGCTGTCAAATGTGGGGTTAGGGTGTTACTGAAGCATTTGTATTAGCAATTAGTGAATCTGTCTGGGCCTGGGGCTTTATTGTTGGGCAGTACAAGTATTGCTTTGTTAACTTCGGATTCTAAGATTGGGGAGGAAAGTAATTGGCTTTGTTCTTCCGTTAGTTTGGGCAGGGGAAGAGGGTCTAGGTATCGCTCTATGTTTGGGAGTGTCGGCTAGTGGAGGGATGCGTCATGTTTTAGATTGTATAGCGAGGCATAGTACCTGGCAAATTCATTGCTGATGTCTTTCGGAGCTATAATTTTTTCCCCTCCTTGGATATTAGGTGGGCGATTTTTTGGCTGGCTTGCTGGTTTCGTAGTCTATTTGCTAACATCTTGCCTGCTTTGTTGCCCTGATCACCAACACTTTCGTGGGAATTCCCCACCTGAACCTTATGCCTTGGTCCCTCAGCACCTCCAGGATTGGGGAAAATATTCTTCTCTTGCTGAGCATTGCCGCCGACAAGTCAGCAAATATTTTAACACTGGAGTAGTTCTCTGGGGATTATGGCTTGCTTTCAGGACATGTTCTTTAATGTGGTAGTAGTGGGCCCTGAGGAGTACATATCGCAGAACCGTTTCAGGTAATTGTTTGAGTCTCAGTACCCGGTGGATTCTGTCCACCAGTAGCATGTCTGCTGGGATTTCTGGGGCATAGGCATGCAACAGGCCTCTCGCATATGCAGGTAGGTCGGCAGGTTGCACCTCTTCTGGGACCCCCCGGAGCCTAAGATTGTTCCTGCAGGCCCTGTCTTCATTGTCCATGAGTTTAGCTTGTATCTGGACTATTTTTTGCTCTCTCTCTTCCACGTGGGTCACCAGATCATTGTGTGCCGTGGCAAATTCGTCTAGTTTGCTTTCCATGTGGGATGTTCTGGACCCCAGCTCCTGTATATCGTGCCTCAGGATGTTGAACGAGGATTGCCAGCTTGAGATCAATTTGCTGGATAGCACTTCTAGGGCTTGTGTCAGGTAGGTTTGAGTCACTGGTTCAGTCACCGTTTCAGCGGCCAAGGAGTCATTAACGTCTGGCGTATTGGTGCCCATTTCTGTGCCATCTTGAATTTCGGCCTGCGAGGTCCATGCTCCAAGGTTGTTTTTCTGGCCGAAGAAATTCAGCTTTTCAGCCCTCCCAGCTTGTTTTCTGCCTTTGTGGTGAGTCATATTTGGTGTTTGTTGGTTGTATAGTATTTCTGGATGCTAGGATTGCAGCAGATTGTGAGCTCATGTGCCAGAGCAAGGAACTATGCAGCCATCCTGCTCAGCAGTTAGCCAAGGCCCCTCAATGCAATTTTTTAATGCAAATTTTATCACGAATACTCGGAATACATCCGACCTTTTGTTGCTTTAAGAAATCGATTGTGGCTCAAGCAGGGAGATACCATCCTACAAAAGGGCATGACATCGGTGAAGCTGTTCGTTCTGCTTACCTACTTAAAAATCTACCCTGACAGGGAGAAAGCTCAAATAATTGAGGACGCTTTCAAATTCGATTTCAGAATCCCAGTTTTATCCCCTCCAGTTGTTCATTAGTTTGATAATTTAAAATAAGTTAAGTAAAGATCCAGGTTGCTAGAATCAAAGTTAATAAAGAAGTTTCCTTAGGTAGAATTGCTGGCCCATTCAAATACCCACTGTTCGAAAATTTCTGAATTTCAACTTTGGGTTTAGTGCCCAAAAAAGAAAAAAGGCAAATTACAACTCATTCACCATATGTCTTACCCACCTGGTGATTCAGTGAAATATGATACAGACAAAACAGAATTTTCTGTGTCTTATTCATCCTTCGATGATGCTTTGAGCGTGATAAAGAAATGTGGGCAAGGTGCTTTACTAGCCAAAGCTGACATTAATTAAGCATTCCATTTGCTCCACATCCAACCAGACTGTATTCCTTCTTTAGGTTTTAAACTTGACGGTTATTTTTATTTTGATAAATGTATGCCCATGGGTACATCAGTTTCTTGTTTTAATGTTTAGTTGTTTCATGTTCTCCATTGGTGTTTAGTTAAAATTACAGGCTCGTCTACTTTAATATTTATATTATTTCTTGTTTATAGGTAAAAACTATTTGTGTGAATGGCTTGTAAAGTTGTCTAATTCCTGTGTATCCCATTGGCTCAGGACAATACAGTATCTCCCATTATTTGTTTACAATTCCTAGACATCGGAATTGACATATGTAATATGGAATTTAGACTTCGATTAGACAAAGTTGCTAAGTTGAAAAGTTTGTTTAAATGTGTACACGTATCAGCAGAAAAGTGACAGTGAAAATTCTGCAATCCCTTTTGGGACTGCTTTGCTTTACATCCTGGTGATGCCAATGGGAAGTGTTTTTTTCCAGAAATATAGCGAGATCATATTTCTCAGCACAAAAACATTTTCACATCAGAGTTTCTAAGGAGATTAAACAAGATCTTGATGTTCGAACATGTTCCTAAAACATTTTAATGGTAGCACTATGTAGCAACACAAATTTGTAGCAATCAGTTGATAGGTTGAACAAGTGGGCAGTTGACTCTTGTTCTCAATCTTGGCATGCAGTAGGTTGGACAAAAACGTTGTTCTTCCATTATAGCATTATTAGGAATTTAAGGTAAGCTGTTGACTAATAAAAGGCTACAGTTATATTGCGATAATACGGGGGTGGTTTGGGTGATTAATTAAAATCAGCACCAGTCATTAGTTTGCTGAGACATTCCGTTTTTGATGTTTGTTTTACAACATTTGGGTTAAAGCAGCATATATTCCAGAGTGTAAGAATAATTTTGTCAGTCTCTCTCATTTTGATTTTAAATTGTTTAAGCTTCTCGCTCCAAATACTGATCCAGAAGAAGAACTTCGACCACAAGGTATTTGCATCTGATTTCATCTGATTTCTCCCAGTTATTGAAGAATTCCCTCTCTACTTCTACTTGGGCAGCTTTTTCAACTGCTTTTGATCCTTAAAGGAACTCTTTGCAAGCTGCCTTGCCGTTTATTCTACATTTGATGATTTGATGTTTAATGAAGTTAGGAAATCATTAATACAGAGGCAATTAGCAAGGATTTATTTATTTTTGTCTAAATTTACTGGGCATTAAGCCAGTCTTTCAGGAATATATGATCACCTGGGTATTGAAAGGTTATGAACTTGGTCAGAAAGTGAAAGATAATAGGCATCCTTTAAATTATTAAACACATTGGTTTATGCTTTTTAGAAAGTGTGTTTTCCGGTTTACGAAAGACATTTATATGCAACTGAGTTTATTTTACGTTTTTTCTGTGTAGTTAGAGTTGTTGAATTAGTGTCACAGAGCAAACAGATGGAGTCAGGTTTCACGGGATCATATTAATGTGTTAGTGCATTCCATTTCCATTCTAAACAGGTTTACCGGATTCTACTCTTTATCCAGTTTCCTCACTGAGATGCTTTTTGCTAATCATTCCGAAAAGACAGGTTCCCTGCTCATTCACAAAGATGGTTCTTCTTTAACACGTTTCCAGTAAAAACAAAAACAAAAACAAAAAAAAAATGTTTGTTTAGGTTAGTTTTGGGTATAGAAAAATGTTCCTCTCACTCATTTTGTATTGGAGCACCCACTGAAGGTTGGGATTGGATAAAAGGAATGCAGCATTTAGTTACGAAGAAAGGCTAAATTTTTTTAATCTTTTTAGTTTGGAAAAACAGCACCTCAGAGGGTATATGATAACATTATACAAATATATTCGGGGCCAGTACAAACCAATATGTGAAAAAACTATTCATAAACAGGGCTATACATAGGACACAAGATCAGGCATTTAGGCTGGAAGAAAGGAGATTTAATCTAAGGCAGAGAAAAGGTTTTTTTTACAGTAAGAACTATAAGGATATGGAATTCTCTGCCCGAAGAGGGGTTTGTATCAGTCCATACATATGTTTAAACAGCAATTGGATAAATACTTTCAAAAACATAACATACAGGGATGTAATTTCTAATTAGTGGGGTAAAGCTGCTTGATCCAAGGAGATATCTGACTGCCATTTTGGGGTCAAGAAGGAATTTTTCCTAGTTTGTTGCAAAATTGGAAGCGCTTCAGACTGGGTTTTTTGCCTTCTTTTGGATCAACAGTAGAGTTGAGTGAACCCGAACATTACGATTTTTTTACCCCAAACCCGAACATTTCAGTAAGAGTTCAGGTTTGAGTTCGGTGTTTGGCCCTACATAACAATGAGGGGGGGACCTACTGTCCTCCCCCCTGGCCCCCACTGCTGAGCGGTGGGTGGGGGCCCTAATTAAGATTGAGGGGGGGAACCTACTGTCCTACCCCCCGGCCCCCACCCCTGCGCGGCGAGTGGGGGCCATACATAACAATGAGTGGGGGACCTACTGTCCTCCCCCCCGGCCCACACCCCTGCGCGGTGGGTGGGGGCCCTACATAACACTGAAGGGGGGACCTACTGTCCTCCCCCCTGGCCCCCACCCCTGCGCAGCAGGTGGGGGCCCTAAATAACAGTGCGGGGAACCTACTGTCTTCCCCCCCAGCCCTAAGACAAATCCCCCCCTTCAGAGGTGACTAGGGGTCCCCAAGCCCCTAGTCACCCAACCCCCCACCAAAATAAAAACTATCCCCTGCCTACCCCCTCACCTTAAAAATAGTGAGGGGGGAATAAATAACTAACCTGTAAAGAAAAATAAAACTTTGATGTCTTCTTTCTTCTAGAGTTGAGTGAACCCGAACATTACGATTTTTTTACCCCAAACCCGAACATTTCAGTAAGAGTTCAGGTTTGAGTTCGGTGTTTGGCCCTACATAACAATGAGGGGGGGACCTACTGTCCTCCCCCCTGGCCCCCACTGCTGAGCGGTGGGTGGGGGCCCTAATTAAGATTGAGGGGGGGAACCTACTGTCCTACCCCCCGGCCCCCACCCCTGCGCGGCGAGTGGGGGCCATACATAACAATGAGTGGGGGACCTACTGTCCTCCCCTCCAGTCCCCATCCCTGCGTGGCGGGTGGGGGCCCTACATAACACTGAAGGGGGGACCTACTGTCCTCCCCCCTGGCCCCCACCCCTGCGCAGCAGGTGGGGGCCCTAAATAACAGTGCGGGGAACCTACTGTCTTCCCCCCCAGCCCTAAGACAAATCCCCCCCTTCAGAGGTGACTAGGGGTCCCCAAGCCCCTAGTCACCCAACCCCCCACCAAAATAAAAACTATCCCCTGCCTACCCCCTCACCTTAAAAATAGTGAGGGGGGAATAAATAACTAACCTGTAAAGAAAAATAAAACTTTGATGTCTTCTTTCTTCTAAAATCTTCATTTTTCAGCCCCCAAAAAAGGTCAAATAAAAAACCATCATAACAGTTGAACTTAAAATAAACAAAAAATTCAGAGCACAAAATAAAACCAGACGAAAAAGGAAAAAACCTGACGCAAAAAAAAAGAATTCATCTTCACCCATGGGGGGCTCCGCGCAAGCTGAACTCTGCAGGGCGGGGGAATGCTTACAAAGCCTTCCCCCGCCCTGCAATTAGGCTAAGAACACTCTCATTGGTTGGTTTAAGCCAATCAGAGTGCTCTTTGCCATTTTACACAGGTGGGAAAGTTCTTTGGAATTTTCCCACGCTGTGTAATTTGACTCATACTACTCTGATTGGTGGGCTTGAAATCTAGCGTGGAAAAGTTCTTTGGAATTTCAGGTAGTTAAGGAGAGAAATCTAAGAAACAATAAAAGCCTATGAGGGTTAATCTGATGCCCATATTAGTACAAGAGAGGTTTAAAACCTCCCTCATGCTCCAATTCGCCATGCAGTGGGTAGGGCCTTGTCTATTAAACAGTGGATAGCCAGTTGCTTCACACTGTCATAAATAACTTTAGTAAAGGGGGCATCTTACACAGGTCCCCATGCCCCCATAGTGAGTCTATAAGTAAATCATAAAGAAGGGAGGGCATAGTGGCCATTAGGTGGGAACTATTAAATAAAATATACCTGTTGACCTAGACATTTGCCTCTTTTTTTAAAATCCATTTAATTTATATTATCACTTTTCACTGTCTGAGGTAAATTCTGTGCCATGCGAGTTTATAAAAGCTTAAACTAATTTCTAAGTAGGATATACTGAAGTAGATAGAAATTTGCTAATTATTTATTTTCCCTGAAAGTTTAAATAATATATTTTGTAAGATTTGTTTATAT